GTAATAATTTAACAAATAACATGGGTCATTGCCCCCCATACTCCGCCCTCGCATCCGATTCCTTCTGTTAATATAAAAGGCAATGACCCCCATATAAATAACACATATATATATAACATATACCAACATTATTCCAACATACCAACTTAAAGTGCCAACATAAATTTAACCATGGCAGGGGTATACCCGGATACCCCTACCCAACCAGGTTCTGAGCCACCGACAGGACTCGAAACCTACCAACCACCAATGACCACAGTTTTCCATATCTGTCACGTTCATCCTAGGGAGCCTATTCCTTCTCCTTCTCCTTCAGCTCCCTATCCCGCCACAAGCTCAGACCTTGACCCCTTAAGCCGTCTGAGCTCCGCCACTCCGAAGAAATAGCGCCTTGGTTATTCCGTCTTGCCAACCCAGGTTCAGCAGGTCACATCCCACTGCCGAAAGATGAACGCCATCTGAGCGGTAGTACCCCGGCAACCCGCCTTCCAACTCGCTGTGCCGCACTACCACCCCCCCCCAACTTCCTTACGAAGCTTGCCATCAAGCTATTCACCTTCTTTCTACACTTGTCGATGGCCACCGGGTCCCTCGCGTGCCGCCACCGCCTCCTCGGGATAATCTCTGACCATACTAACATTACTCCCGGAAGCAGGTCCCTCAATTTGTTGAGGTCCTGCTTCATCCACTTCACCAACCTCCGCTGCGGTGTTAGGCCCAAGTCATTGCCCCCCGAATGTAGCACCAGCAGGTCTGGCCCCCGCCCGCCTGCCACCATCCGGAACACTTCCCGGCAAACTCCCCCCCAGCAAAAACCCCTATACCCGAACCATTGCACCACCAACTGGTCCCTTGAAAAGCCCAGCTGCTGGCCCTGAGCTCGAGCTGCGGCTCTCCTTTCGGCCTAGAAAACAAAGGAATGGCCCACGATCCATGCAACATAGCCTGGGGAAGAGAGAAAAAACAGATTGTAACAACACCCCCTTATCGCCCTCCGGGAACCCCTGAACAAAGGCCCGACATATCATTCTAACAACCCCAACCGCACGTACGACCGGAACCGTACTGACTCCCACCTGCCAATTCGTTTAACTACGTCATCCCCCAGACCCAACCTTGCGGCTTCCGTGGCCGCCCCGATGCGAAAGGAATGCGTGCCAAAGCTATCCACCCGTAACCCCATTTTTCCCAGGCCCCACCGAAAAACCTTAATAAATTGAAATCGGGAGAGGGAAGACCCATCTGCGTGCACCAGGAGGGATCCCCCAACCGTCGGCCTCCGGACCAAATACTCTGCCACCGAGGCTACCGGGCACAGAACAGAGCCCGGCAGGGCCCGAAGTGTCACATCACGGCCCGCCCCCCGTGAATCCGTCTTAGATTCGGCCAGGTGAACCACCAATTTCCCCCCTTGCAGCCGAACCCCGGAGACCTGTAGGCCCCCGGCCGCTACCCGATTGGCACTCACCAACTCACTAATCCGGAAAGCCCCGAAGAAAGCCAACAGAAACGCTGTCCGAAACAGGGACACCTCAAACTCATCAAAGCAAATTCCAGGCAGCCCACTAACCAGATCCCCCAACACCCGCACCGACACCGGGCGCCTAGTGTCTGGAAACCTGCGCCCCTTCCGATAACCCTTAAGCGCCTGCCTGATGACGAAGGACTTGGTAACGTCCTCCTTCCCATGAAGCTTAAACCAGAAAGCCATCGCTGCCATGGACCTGTCAACCACTGCCGGGGAGGCCCCTTTTGCCAGCAATTTACAGGTGTACCACAGAAACGCGTCCCGGAGTGATTCCCCTTCCGGCACGCAATCCGGCCCAGCCCAAGATCGTTCCCACGAACTGTAAGCGGCCCATGTGGCCGGTGCCAGAGAAGCCTTCACAAGTCCCCCAAGCAGGACGCTCCCAGCCGCCAAATTTCGTCCGGGCACGCCTGGCCCGTTTCCTGCGCCTCCGGTGCCACCGTCCGGAATCGGGACCACTGAATACGAGAGAGAGCATCAGCCACTTCGTTCAAGTACCCGGCACATGGCGCGCGCGAAAGACAACATTGCGGGACATGCACATTAGGACGAAGTGCCGCAGCAACCGGACCACCGGTTTCGACGCCGCCGACTGATTATTCACTGCGTGCACTACCGCCATATTGTCAGAGAAAAATACCACCTTCCTGTCCCGCAGCCCTTCCCCCCACAGAGCCATCGCAACCACCAGCGGGAACAATTCCAGGAAGGCCAGGTTCCGCATAAGGGGGCTTTGCCCCCACGTCAGCGGCCACCTCTCCGCGCACCATTTCCCACCAAAGTACGCCCCGAAGCCCACACTACCCGACGCGTCAGTGAACAGCTCCAGCTCTGTCACCGACACCCCTTCCTGCCGAAAGAACACTGTCCCATTAAAGTCTCGCAAGAAGGTATCCCACACGGCAAGGTCGGCCCTCATGGCGGACGATACCCGGATGAAATGGCGTGGGGATTGCACCCCCGCCGTAGCTGCCGACAGGCTGCGGCTAAAAACCCTACCCATCGGGATTACCCGGCAAGCGAAATTCAACATCCCGATCAACGACTGCAGCTGCTGCAGGGTGACTTTCCTCGCCCGCGCTACTGCTGCCACCGACCCTTTCAGCCCTTGCAGCTTTGCCAGCGGCAGCCGACATTCGCCCCGCACCGAGTCAATCTCCAGCCCCAGGAAACTAAGGCACACTGCCGGGCCTTCCGTTTTATCTGCTGCCAGCGGGACCCCGAAGCACCCAGCGACCCACTCAATAGTCCGCAGCAAACGCTGGCAAGCAGGAGTGCTTGCCGGCCCCACGCAGAAGAAGTCGTCCAAATAGTGCACCACTGATCCATTCCCTGCCTCCACCCGTACCACCCATTCGAGGAAAGTGCTGAACTTCTCAAAGTATGAGCACGAGATGGAACAGCCCATGGGGAGGCACAAGTCCACAAAGTATGCCCCTTGAAAGAAACACCCCAGAAGGTGGTGACATGCCGGGTGGACCGGAAGCAGCCGAAATGCTGCCTCAATGTCCACCTTTGCCATCAGCGCCCCGCGCCCGGCCTTCTTAACCAGCTCGACCGCCCGGTCGAATGATGCATGTGAGACCGAGCACAACTCTTTGTCGATATCATCATTCACCGACGCTCCCTTGGGGTAGGAGAGGTGGTGGATGAGCCTGAACTTCCCCGGCTCTTTCTTGGGTACCACCCCGAGCGGGGAAACCCTAAGGCCTTCCAACGGCGGTGCTGAGAACGGGCCCGCCATCCTACCCAATAAAACTTCCTTTTCTAATTTCTCCCGCACCACCCCCGGGAACTCCGCCACCGACTTAAGGTTGCACCGCACCCCAGATCCCCCCCTGTCCCGGAACGGGATAAAAAACCCTTGCCCAAAGCCCGCCCGTAGCAACTCGGCGTCTGCCCTGTTACCGTAGCGGCTTAGCCATGGCTCCATCGCGTCTAGCCTCACCGGGGTTAAGCCCCGGGGCAGAGGAGACCCCTCCTCCCCCCCCAACCGTAGCAGCGACTCCGGTATGTCCTGACTTCCCCTTTTTGAAGCATTGGTTAAGCCCGTGTGTGCCCCCGCAGCCGGAGCACTCGTGCTTAAAACGACAGGTGTTCCCCCATTTGCACTGGCCTTCATTGAAGAGCCAGCATAAGCCCTTTTGCAAGGCGGCCGACGAGGCGGACTGCCCCTTTCCGCCGGCCGTGTGCTGAAAGGGCTGCGCCTTCTGCGCCATCATCAATTTCATCCAGAGGGGCAGGTCCATTTGGTCCCATCTCATACCCGGATTAGCCGCCAAGCGCTGCCGGAACTGCTCATCATACCGCCACCACGCCAGCCTGCCGTAGGTGCGGTATGCCTCCCAAATTCCGTCTAAATAGCAAAACAGGGAGGAGCACGATTCCGGCGATTTCTCACCTAGGACACTGGCCAGGACGCAGAACGCCCTTAGCCAGTTGCCAAAAGATTTCGGTATCTTACGATACCGCTTCTTTTTCTCCTCCTCCTCTTTTTTCTCGTCTTTCTTATCTTCCTCCTTGAGGTCTATAAACTCCTCTAAGGGGAGAAGGGAAAAGATTTCACAGAATTCGCCCTTCCAGATCTTGTCTTTCACCTCCTGTTTGAGGTGCACCCCGAGCGAACCAGCGAACGACACGTATGCGTGCTGTCTGGCCGCATCAGGGACCCCCCCACCAGTCAACTCCGCCCGCTCACTCGCTGCGTCCGCCCTGCTGCCAGCCGCTCCCGAATCCCCGCTCGAACTCGGTTCTGCGGAGATAACACCCGTGGCCCCTGCCCCCTGTGCCCACACCTGACCTACACCGCCACCCGTGTCACCCCCCGCTCCCAGCGAGTGGAGAAGTGTTTGTAGTGTGTGAATCAATGTACTGGATTGCAACGAGGCACAGGACTCACCGGCCAAGCCCCCCGGTCTCCGAGCGCTGGGGGCTGCGTTGTCCACTGTAATCCGTCCGGGAGGAGCGACCTCCGTTAACGCCCCGCCGACCGGGGAGCCAACCCGGTGCCCAGCTAAAACAGAAGATGACCGGCTCCGAGACCTGTACCGAGGAGAAGATGTCCTGGGTAGGGTGTAACGATCCCCTGTCACCCTCTCACCCCGACCCGGGGAGCGCCTGCCCTTCACCAAAGCCTCCCTCCGTGTGGTGCCCGTAGTCCGTGCTCCAGAGGCCTGGATGGCCCCGCCCCGTGGGCTACGACTCCTTCCCCCCCAGCGTTCGGTCCGCCCCCGCCAACCATGCCTGGGGGCCCTGACCCTGCTCCTGTCCGACCCCTCAGAGGTGGAACTGTCCTGTCTTGACCTACCCCTAGCTCCCCCAGCTCCCTGATCCCTAACTGGGGATGGGCTAATGCTGCTAGACCCC